CACCACAATAAGCATGGGAAGATCAGTAGGACAGTTGCACATAAACCACTCGTGTAAAGGAAAGATAAGAACCTTGCATGCAGGCTCATCCCAACACGGAAAGCATCGCCGAGCATCAGCTGGTTCAAACTGAGTAACTGCCATATTCTTCTTCTCACCGTTGTGCTCATAAGTACTGGACAGAGTTAATTAGAACACAAGCAAGTGAATTAGGCCGTCCACAATTATTAAGTAATACATATTCGTCTAATTCAGAAATTAAGTGACAATACTAACAGTGTTAACATCTCATAATCCAGTAATTCATTCAAAAAACTAAGTACCTCTAGATCAACGTATAGCAGAAAGGCATAGATTCAGAAGTAGTAATAGAAGACGCACAGTGATGTCCCAAATGATGCAGGGTAAACAACCAATGATATTTTATAAAAGAGGAGCAGAGGAAGCAAGTGGTTGCATGAAGCTAAATCTTCATTTGGTTAAATAACATCCCAATTGCTTTGAAATCCCCGTTCCACAATCAGATAATGCTGAAGATCATCATGTTCTGTGTTTCCTTGAAAATAATTACCTTCTGTAAAACCCTTTCATCCTATCATTAAGAGTTCCATCAAAACCAATAGCCAAAACTCCAACCCCAGAAGGCAGTATCTCGGGGAACTCCAAAACCAATATCTCATCTTCCTCAACCAAGTCAGCTTTACAAGGCTCGAACACCTGCTCAGCAATTTCGATATCGTCAAGTCACTTCACACCACCAAATCCTCTACATACCAATTAACACAAAATAAGATAGAAACTAAAATCTCAAAACTCGACGACGATAGCCTCGACTATGAGCCAGCCCATAATCTCAAAAAACAGAAATTCCAAATTAAAATGCATTCATCATCGGAAAATAAAGTCAACAATGCCATTTTGCATGCTGAATAAACAGAAGATGAAAGGCAACCGATCGATCAAATTCAGACCGCAATCAACCAACCAAGAAGAGCAAAACGAGAATTCTGAAAAAGTAACATCGCAAGTTGCATACAAACAGAGAAACGCCCAATCTTCCTCCTAACCTTAAACATGTCGCAAACCTCCTACCTCAAAAAAAAATTCCACATTTTTAATGAAAAAAAAAAAATTTGAACACGTCTGGTAAGAAGACTCGAGGAATCACCTCGGAGGACGCTTTGCTGGTGAACGAGACGGTCCCGTCCTGGATCGAGAGGTCGGCGGCATTGAGGACGATGAATTTGGTCTCGCCGACGATGTCGAGGTCGACGGCGACGGAGCCGGCGAACTTGCAGGCGGCGAGGTCGGGCCTGAGGCGCACGTCGTAGCGCTTCGGCGACGCGAACTTGGGGAGGCGAGGCTGGCCCTTGAACTGCTCCATCTCCGCGGCGATCGGATCTTCTTGCGACGACGTCACAGCTCAGTCTCTAGCACTCTCTCTCTCTCTCTCTCTCTCCCTATCTCTGTCGATCGATCTCGAAATGAGCGGAGGAAGAAGACGAGCTCGAGGGGGAATTTATGAACGTTTTCGCATTGGCACGCACGTGAGAAGTCACGTGAGCTCTTGGGGTTTCTCGTGTTCCGGTTCCGGCCGGTTCCCAGTCCCTTTGCACGCACCTAGGAACCATGTGGGTGTCTCGGTATTCTATTTTGACAAGTTTTGAGTTTTGCTCTCTCTACTTCTCGTTTTTTGGATTTTGAATAATCTTGTTGAAAAATACGTAATCTTGTTACTCGACATATGCATGTCATTTTTTTTTTTGGTCATATGTACAATCTAATTTTTGAAATTTAGTTTGCTTGATGTGGTGGATTAAGAGCATCGTTACGAAAATGTATCAAGTTTGCTTTGAAACTGAGGTTTGATCCAAAAGATTATTGCCCCGGTTACTTTTGGCTGGCGCTATTGCTACCCCTCATATGACCAAATCCACCCACATTTTCATTAAAAAGACAAAGTTGCCCATAATTACCATAACAAAGAATATCACACGTTTTGTTCTTGTTTATTAGAGATATATCATGTATATTAAAGGCATTATGTTTTCTCTTTATATTTTAGATTTAATTCCATAAAAATTAGTCTCGTCGAAAAGAGAAATTTCGAAGAAACCTAGTTATATTCTACATTTTCGAAGAAATTCCATATTATGGGATAATCGCATGAAACCACAAAAGAAAAACCTCTTTAAAGCTTTTCCAATACAAAATCATAGTCACGTTCCTGCTCATACTTGGAAAGATGGGATCAAATTTTATCAAAGCTTCGCATAAAATGAAGAACTTTTTGTAAAATGCCATTGAAATTTCATTATTTTGGATTGACAAAAATAAATATCATTCGCGGAGTGTTTACGAACAATATCAAGATGCCTCATTGTGCATAACTTTTTCATGTCAATGTTTTTAGAATTTTTCTAAATACTCTTTAATGTATTATATACTCTGTGTAAAACCATCTCGCCAATAGTAATGAAAAAAGACAAATTCTTCGATATAGTAAATATAGAGACTTTATATATATTAAAAAAAATTCAGCAAGAAAGTAAGCCTGTGAGATAGGAGGGACGGAAATTAGATAAATTGTTATAACGGCAATGATGCAGAAGAGACTAGTTTTTATTTTCTAAATAGCAATAAGTTCGAATTTGACGAGAAACCATAAACAAAAACAAGCATGTGACCTTCTAAATTATGACAATTGGATCCTACAAAGACAGAAAAACTAAAAAAAGAATGAAAGTAAATAAATTTAGAGTCACCACTTTAGATTGCAATTAAAATTGAGGATAATATTGTCTTTTTAGTGAAAACGGGGTGAATTTAGTTATGTAAGGAGTGGCATTTTTTTTATGATGTGTCAAAGGAATAATTAAGATCGATCAACTATTCACTATCGCATTCATATATTGATATGTGCACGAAACATAATTAAAAATCTAGAAAACATGAGCTAAATTGGTAGTCTCATCCATCAAGTCATTACATTGATGATTAGACATGATCCTAATGAAGCATTTGCATATTGAGACATGAGCATGTCATACGCCAATCAAAGTAACCAAAATTCTTTTTTAGGATCTATTTGTTTCGCGAAAATTGAATAATTTATGATTTATAAAATATTTTCTTAAAAATGATTGCTTATATCACTTATAAAAATGAATGAACGAAAAATTCACAAAAATATTTAGATATAAATTGTTGTCGGTAATGAAAATATTTTTTATTAACTAATTACTTTAAGCAATATAAATAATCATTTTTAGGAAAATAATTTTTGAATTATTAATTTTCCATGAAACAAACGAAGCTTTGATGTCAATTCATCATCCTTAGTCGTCCATTCTATGCTTTGCTTGGACTTTTAATGAACCGGAAAAGTAGACTTAATATATGAATTGCGATAACATCGTAAGGATAAAATTTTTATAAAGAAAACGAAAAATAAAAAGAAAACACTTACATAGGCGTTTCTTATAACACAATGGATGAGATAATCATACAAAAAATGTTAAACTAATTGTGCATCGGTCAATTTAGTTCGAAACATTTTAATTTTGTCAATTTAATCCAAAACCTTTTGACCATTTGCCAACGTAGTCCTTCCAGCCAATTTTAACCGGAAAATTGTTGACATGAAAGTCGTGCCACATAAGACAGTCAGTGTCCACATCATCGATTTTTCGATCAAAATTGGCTAGAAGGACTACGTTGGCAAATCGTCAAAATGTTAATGATTAAATTGGTGAAATCAAAAAAGTTTAAAACTAAATTGACTGCTGTACAATAGATTACGATCTTTTGGACAATTTTTCACAACAACCGTTAATTGATCTTTTCAAGGAATACGGTTCCACAAGAGCAAAAGCAATGAAAGGAGTTAAAGCATTAGACAACTTTAATCTCAAAGATGATTCACCAAGGAATGAGGAAGAGAGGGAATAAATGCAAAGGAAAATATCATCTCATCTCTTGCTTGAGGAGTCTGTGTTGCTTCCTATTTAAGTGCTACTTCTTTATCTCCACATCAAGGAATCAGAATAAGTGGGGCTGACAAGCAATCTAAGTCCTAGGTATCAGATGCTCTTGCCTAACCTTGCATTTTAAGTCTTTAAAATCTGTTATTATGTTGTTATGTCAAGATTGTTCGTGCTTAATTAATTTTTTCTTTTGTTTATTCCATCTCTGACCTGAAGCCAGCCTTATTTTTGTGCATATTTTACATTCTTCCCTAGACATCGGGTTCTGAGTTTCTTGTCCACTAAGTCACACCTTTCAATAATGGTAAATTCTTTCACTCATCATCTTATGGACCACCGCATCATCTTTAAGCATGTGCAACCATTGATGTGTGCAGTCATGATGCTCACACGGCAGTGTTTTTCCAACGCGATGAGAACCCTTCATCGATTTGCTTCTTCAATTCGCACTTAACTTTAGTATAAATATCACAACATAGCCAAATTCCCCGCACAATAATATGGGCCGAGTCTGGCGTCGGATTTTATAAAATCACCTCATTTCGATACGTACTTCTCAACTAAAAATGAGGCCATGATATCGGTGCTTCGACTCCTTTTTTTAGCCATCCCGTTTGTCCGTGAAACTCGCCCGCATTTCCTCGTAAGAAAACATCGATCGAAGCGAAACTGAAAATGCTAAACGCCGACATATATGGGCACATAAACCGGTCAAAGATGGCGATCTCTTGATCTAAAATCAAAATGGTTCGAGCAACCATGACCAGTAGCCGGTGCTTCCCTTTCTCCCCAAGAAAGGTCAAGAGCCTCTACAATTTGTTTGGAAGTCAATGTCCGATTGCGAGTCTCCCCCTCAATTCGGTCAATAGTATACATTACTACTCGTTCGAAAGTTGTTGGGCTTGCTATCGAAAAGCCCAATGCTTCGAATTGGGCCGCGAATGAGTACGGTAGGCCCACAATGGGGGCCCATCTGAGCTCTTTCAGTGAGAGAAAGAAAGAGAGAGCAGCTTCTTCGTTGTTGTCAAACTGCGTTGGAAGATTTCCTGGGACGACGGATGGGGATCGTCAGAGAGAAGAAGCCCAGATCATCTTCTCCGTCTTCTCCGTCGTCGACGTCGCCTTGCGCCGATCTGAGAGCCGCCTACCACAATTGCTTCAACAGGTAAGCCCCGAATCGGCGCAGCCAAGTGGAAATTCATGAAAATTTGTCTTGTTCCTCTTCCGTTTCCGATCGTCAAACCCCGTCAAGATGGCTTCTTTCGGTGATTTTCAGGTGGTACTCGGAGAAGTTCGTGAAGGGTCAGTGGCAGAAGGAGGAGTGCGTGGCCGAGTGGCAGAAGTACCGAGCTTGCCTCTCCGTAATCCTCGCGATTCTTGGTTTTTGCCAAATGCGATGTTATGATGTTGATTGTGGTTTGCCTGTGGATTGCAAATTTTTTTCCTGTTTGATTTTCCGGGGTTTGTTGTGAAGGAACATTTGGAGGACAAGCACCTGAGCCGGTTCTTGGAAGCCGAAGGCCTCGACGGCACCGCGAGAGCTGCCGGTTTGGCGGGCGCGGCGGATGGGCGCAGAGACTAGTTCGTCAGATTGGCACTGCGTCGAGCGATGAGATATCGAACGTGGATGGTGATTTTTTCGAGGTGATTGTTCGTCATTTGATTCGAGAATTGATTTTGCTGGTGACATTTGATTGCTGTAGATGCGGAGGTTATATTTGATTTTTTCCAAGCCATATCTACTTAATGTAGAGAAAGAAGAGGCTGGTTCATGGAATTAGAGTCGGGACGACATTAATGAACAAAGAACTAAGTGGGACTATTCATTTGTCGCTGAACGAAGCATAATAATGAAGAACTCAATGGAAAGGTCTTGTAAGGAGGTCCATTTTGGGTGGGGTGGTGCTCAGTGTGCTTCTTCAGTATTGGCATGTCTCTTGATGATGCAGAGTTTTCTAAACTAGGAATTCTAGCGACACGTTTAGAGGTTTGTAAAACTCATTTCTCCGTCAAACGTCATTTTTTCAATGGCATTATGTTTAATGGTGAGTTTCCTTTTCTATTTCTGTTTTTGTCGGTAGAACCACTTAAGGATCTACAATAAGCGGAAAAGGCGGAAAATAAGGACAATTTTCTGTTATGATGGGTTAGTCCTCTTGCAAGGTCAGACTGATGTAAAAATAAGAAGGTAGTTGCCGTGCTTAGTTCCTAGTGAATCCTAGGCCTGAACTGAAATTAAGTGCATCAAGTATGGAGTGGCTTCTGTGCGTTTCTCCTGACCGATCCTTTTGTTTCTCCAAAATCAATCTCTTAAGGGTTTTATAGTAAGAACTTGCATAATGCATGAGCGTTAATAACTTTTGGGGAGAGGAAGTGTCATCAGGAGGTCATTCTCTCAGCGTCCACCTAATTTCTTTGCTGATAACCTACAAATTTTATTGTGAACCTATGAAACCTTGGAGCGCAGTGGCCATGCTGGTTGTGTAGCTTGCGTACGGAAGGAATTGTCTCTCTCAAAACAACTAATGGAGGTATTGCTTTCTACTAAATTAGGTGAACTCACAAGGCTGGGAGACTTTGATGCCCTAAGGGTCGTCTTGACATCTGAAGATTCCATTAGGTGGTTGGGACTCGGAAGCGGTGCAGGAATTTCTTGTTCTGAAAATTAAATCAGCCTATTGTATTTTACATTGGTTCTAACCCGGTCATCTTGCTTACAGTTGAAAATCATGAAATACTCTCTTACCAGTTTTGTTTTGTTACATGGGGGACGTAGATGTATGAGTTCTTCTTCTTCTTTTTTTCTTTCGATTTTCAATTGGTGAAACAATACATTTCTGTGTTTTATCGCAGTGTTTTAACAGTTATACAACACATTTGGAGGATATACTCAGACCCTTATTCTCCTCTATCTTCTGAATTGTGACCAATTAATTATGAAGTTTGCTGTTGCCCCTCCTTGTTCCTTTCTTTTCTTCTACTTTGAGCCATCTTACTTGGTTAACCGAATCTGAAAGTGTTTGATGTCATGATGACCTTGAAATGAGAAATTGTGATTGATGTGAAAATTGCGTTTCTCTGATGGTATCTCGCAATCCCCTGATAGCAACTTTCTGTTCTACTAATGACTATGGGATCGCACGTCAAGGAAACTATGGCATTTTTTTGATGTCACCTATTGAATAATATGAGAAAATAGTAGGATGTGAAATTGGAATAGTGTCGGCTGCTCGCACAAGATATCCGAGCAATAAATGTACATTTGAGTAAACAACTGTCCAGGACCATGGCCTGTCTTCTTCTTGTCAGTATAATCATACATAATAACTTAATAAGCATCAGAGCATGTTCTATTTCTTTAACAGACGGGTTGTCTCCACGCCACTTCTGGCCGTACTTCCTGTCCACCTAAAATCCATCTTCTCTGGAGTATTTTCAATTCCTGATTCTGTTCCGACGTCAATGGGGGTTGTCAAATCCTTCTCCGGCAGGGAACGAATCTCTATCTTAAGGCATTGTGGGCCAGTTCCGGGGAGGACCCAGGAACCCTCTCTCGATGCGAACTCATCGAGAGAGAAGAACGTCGGCACTGAAAATTAGGCTCTCTGAGCGTGCGTCGATACTACTCGTCCACAGTTTGGGTACAATCGGTATTGTGGTGTTGGGCATTTTGGCAAAGTCGTCGTAAAGAAATAAAGAAGAATGTCTCACATCGTCATCGACTCATTTCCAAGCAAGAAGGGCATGTACCATTTTGAACTCTGCTCTGCTCATGTCAAGATTGTGAATTAAAGGAAAATATCGAACTAAAGAAGATACGAACACATCCAGTACACAAACACATCGACTGGTTCATTCATATAAGCACGAGCCAAACATCAAACACATAGCCTACTAGACATAGCACGTGAAAATACTTCAATTCCACTCGCCAGTTTGGATATCTCCAAAACCGAAACGAAAAACAAGAAAACACACTTGAGCAAACTACGCCATCCTTTCATTATTCTTCATTCCCCATAAGACTTGCAGACTCGCTCACCGAAGCCGCTAGAGCTCAGCTCCGCGAGGCCACTTTCAAGCGACCTTGACCTCGACCGTCTTCGGCTTCTTTGGCTCCGGTGGGGGCAGCTTCTCCACCGTGACCGTCAGCACCCCGTCGCGGCACACCGCGGAGACCGCCTCCGTGTTCGCGTTCTCTGGCAGCGTGAACTTCCTCATGAACTTGCCAACCCGCCGCTCCATCCGCAGGTACTTGGCCCCCTCCTTCTCCTCCTCGCGCTTCCTCTCGCCGCTGATCACCAGCACGTTGTCGTCCTCGACCTGGACCTTGATGTCCCCGGAATTGAGGCCCGGCATGTCGACAACGAAGGCGTAAGAGCCAGGGAACTCCTTGACATCTGCGGGGGTGGCTGCCATGGCCCGGGCGTCGCGGACGTAGGTGCGGGTGGGGGCGTTGAAGGACTTGTCGACCTCGTCGGGGACGTCCATGAGGTGGTGGAGGGTGGCGAAGAGCGGGGAGTCGAGGCCGGTGAGCCTGAAATCCATCGTTGCTGCCGTCGTCCTCCTGCTGCTGCTGCTCGATCGGTGAAATTTGCGTGGGAGATCGATTTGAAGTTGAGTTGCGTTTGATCGCAGTTTGGTGCGGAGAGGAGATGGTGGGAGCGAGTATTTATAGGTTGGCGTTTTGGGAAAGTTCCAGAAGATTTGAGGGAATGATGCAGAGGTTCGAGACGGTTCGAGGTCGCTACATGGGATGCTTCTAGAAGCCTAGAAGACTCTAGAATATTCGTTCTTTTTTCGGGCAGTTAGAAACTAGAAAGTTCCCTATTAGATGATTAGTAACATATTTAAAGAAAAGCGTTAAAAAAGTCATAAACCTTCTGTATTGATATCAATTTAGTTCTGAATCTTTTTTTGGTGCCAATTCAGTCCTTTCGGCTAATTTTGGCCGGATTTTAGTGACGTGGATGCCGGCCGACTTACGTGACACCGCCGGCACTGACGTGAACAATTTTTAATAATATTTTAATATTTTTTCGATTTATTAAATATTTATTCTAATTTTTTTCTTTTTTTCTTTCTTTTTTTTTCTTTTCCTTCTTCTTCTACTTTTGGCTGGTGATTAGTCCGATCATTGGCCATGGCCGGCCGCCTAGCTAGGCAAGGCCGTCATCGCTCGCCATAGGCGTGGCCCGGCCAACCCTCACCTGGGCGAGGGCGTCCCTGGCGAGGGTCGGCCTCGCCCAAGCAAGGCTCGGCGAGGGTCGGCCTTGCCCAGGCCAGATCTGGCAAGGGGAGCCCGCTGGTGAGGGGAGCCCTCGCCGGGGCTCGCCCTTGCCTAGACTAGGGTTAGCCTTGCCGGGGCTCGCCCGCCCTCGCCTAGGTGAGGGTCGATTGGGCCTTGCTTGTGGCGGGCGACGGCAGCCTAGTCCGGGCGACGACGGCCTCGCCCAGGCAGCCGGCCAAAGGTAGAAGAAGAAGGAAAAGAAAAAAAAAGAAAAGAAGGAATAAAAGAAAAAAATCAGAAAAAATATTTAAAAAATCGAAACAAATATTAAAATATTATTAAAAATTATCCACATTAGCGTCAGCGGCGTCAAGTACGTCGGCCGACGTCCACGTCACCAAAATCTGGCCAAAATTAGCCGGAAGGACTGAATTGGCACAAAGACAAAAGGTTTATGACTGAATTGACATAAAAAAAAAGTTTGGAACTGAATTGATACCAATGCAAAAGGTTTAGGACTTTTTCAATACTTTTCCCTTCATCTTTGCAAAGTACACTTATTTTTTGGTCAGAAAATATACTTATTTGAAAGATAAAATTTCTTTGCGAGATTACCCGTTCTTTCTCCTCCTCCACCATCTCTCTCCTCCTGTCACTGGCCCGCCGGCCACCACTTGCCCTGCCAATTGTCCCCAATTGCCATCGCCCTCATACTTGAGGCCGACGATGGTCGCTGCCTCGGATCTGGTCCAAATTCTGGTCTAGCGACCTCAACATGGAGCAAATTAGGGCTTGGTCTCCCATGGCCACCGAGACCTATTAGCTCGGTGTGACTATTCATTTGTCGCTGAACGAAGCATAAAAATGAAGAACTCAATGGAAAGGTCTTGTAAGGAGGTCCATTTTGGGTGGGGTGGAGCTCAGTGTGCTACTTCAGTATTGGCATGTTTCCTTGATGATGCAGAGTTTTCTAAACTAGGAATTCCAGCGACAAACATCATTTATTCGATGGCATTATGTTTAATGGTGAGTCTCTTTTTTCTATTTCTGTTCTGTCGGTAGAACCACTTAAGGATCTACGATAAGCGGAAAATAAGGACAGTGTCCTGTTATGACGGGTTAGTCCTTTTGCAAGGTCGACTGATGTAAAAATAAGAAGGTAGTGGCCGTGCTTAGTTCCTAGTGAATCCTAGGCCTGAACCGAAATTAAGTGCATCAAGTATGTAGTGGCTTCTGGGTGTTTCTCCTGACCGAGGCTTTCCAATTTCTGGCTTCTCATTCCTTTTGTTTCTCCAAAATCAATCTGTTTAGGGTTTTATAGTAAGAACTTGCATTGTGCGTGTGCATTAATAACTTTTGAGGAGAGAAAGTGTCATCAGGAGGACATTCTCTCAGTGTCCACCTAATTTCTTTGCCGATAACCTACAAATTTTATTGTGAACCTATGAAACCTTGGAGCGCAGCGGCCATGCTGGTTGTGTAGCTTGCGTACGGAGGAATTGTCTCTCTCAAAACAACTAATGGAGGTATTGCTTTCTACTAAATTAGGTGAACTCACAAGGCTAGGAGACTTTGATGCCCTAAGGGTCGTCTTGACATCTGAAGATTCCATTAGGTGGTTGAGACTTGGAAGCGGTACAGGAATTTCTTGTTCTGAAAATTAAATCAGCCTATTGTGTTTCACATTGGTTCTAACCCTGTCATCTTACTTACAGCTGAAAATCATGAAATACTCTCTTACCAGTTTTGTTTTGTTTCATCGGGGACATTGATGTATCTGAGTTTTTCTTCTTTCTTTCATTTTCTCTTGGTGAAACAATCCACTTCTGTGTTTTATCACAGTGTTCTAACAATTATTCAACACATTTGGAGGATATACTCATATCCTTATTCTCCTCTATCTTCTGAATTGTGACCATTTGATTATGAAGTTTGCTGTTGCTCCTCCTTCTTCCCTTCTTTTCTTCTACTTTGAGCCATCTTACTTGATTAACCGAATCTGAAAGTGTTTTGATGTCATGATGGCCTTGAAATGAGAAATTGTGATCGATGTGAAAATTGCGTTTCTCTGTTGGTATCTCACAATCCCCTGATAGCAACTTTCTGTCCTACTAACGTCGAGGAAACTATGGCATTTTTTTTATCTCACATATTCAATAATATGAGGAATAGTAGACTGTGAAATCGGGAATAGTATCGGCTGCTCGAATAAGATTTCCGAGCAATAAATGTACATTTGAGTAAACAACTGTCCAGGTCCTCCAGGACCATGGCCTGTCTTCTTCACGTCAGTATAATCATACATAATAAGCATCAGAGTATGTTCTGTTTCTTCAACGGACGGGTTGTCTCCACACCACTTCTGGCCACACTTCCTCTCCACCTGAATGCATCTTTGGAGTGTTTTCAATTTCCGATTCTATTCCGACGGCAATGGGGTTGTCAAATCCTTCTCCGGCAGGGAACGAATCTCTATCTTAAGGCTCTGTGGGCCAGTTCCGGGGAGGACCCGGGAACCCTCTCTCGATGCGAACTCATCAGGTGAGAAGAACGTTGGTACTGAAAATTAGGCTGATCAGAGCAGAGCTCGATACTCGGCCACGGTTTCAGTACAATCAGTATTGTGGTGTTGGGCGTTTCGGCATAATGGGCGATTCGGCAAAGTTGTTGTAAAGAAAGAAGAATGTCTCACATCGTCAATAAAAACGTATCAGTTCTGTTCATGTCAAGATTGCGAATTTAAGGAAAGTATCGAACAAAAGAAGATACGAAGACATCCAGTACACACAATACATAGACTGATTCATTCATATAAGCGCGAACCAAACATCAAACACATAGCCCACTAAACATAGGCAACTGCATAAGAACCTGCAAAATACTGCAATTCCACTCGCCAGTTTCGATATCTCCGAAACCGAAACGAAAAACAAGAAAACACACTCGAGCAAACTACGCCATCCTTTCATTATTCTTCATTCCCCATAAGACTCGCTCACCGGAACCGCTATAGCTCAGCTCTGCGAGGCCACTTTCAGGCGATCTTGACCTGGACCGTCTTTGGCTTCTTCGGCTCCGGCGGGGGCAGCTTCTCCACCGTGACCGTCAGCACCCCGTCACAGCACACCGCGGAGACCGCCTCCGTGTTCGCGTTCTCCGGCAGCGCGAACTTCCTCATGAACTTGCCGACCCGTCGCTCCATCCGCAGGTACTTGGCCCCCTCCTTCTCCTCCTCGCGCTTCCTCTCGCCGCTGACGATCAGCACGTTGTCGTCCTCGACCTGGACCTTGATGTCCCCGGACTTGAGCCCCGGCATGTCGACGACGAAGGCGTAGGAGCCGCGGAACTCCTTGACGTCGGCCGGGGTGGCCGCCATGGCCCGGGCGTCGCGGACGTAGGTGCGGGTGGGAGCGTTGAAGGACTTGTCGGCCTCGTCGGGGACGTCCATCAGGTGGTGGAGGGTGGCGAAGAGCGGGGAATCGAAGCCGGCAAACCGGAAATCCATCGTCGCCGTCGTCCTGCTGCTAAATTCTGGGTTTTGAGGAGCTGGTTTTGCGTGGGAGATCGATTTGAAGTTGAGTTGCGTTTGATCGGAGTTTGGTGCGGAGAGGAGATGGTGGGAGGGAGTATTTATAGGTTGGCGTTTTGGGAAAGTTACAGAAGATTCGAGGGAACGATGCGGATTGCGGAGGTTCAAGACGGCGGGAGGTCGCTACCGGGATGCTTCTAGAAGCCTAGAAGACTCTAGAACATTCGTTCTCTTTTTGGGCCGTTAAAAACTAGAAAGTTCCCAAGTGGATAATTACTTAATTAGTAATCATAACATTAGGGCTGTCAAAATAACCCGATCAAACACGACCCGACCCGAATCGATCCAATCCGATCCGAAAATTTTTGTTTTGGGTTGAGTTGGGCCTCAACTTGTTTGGGTAATAATAAAGATAATTGGGTATTGTTTTGTATTTATTGGGCTCGGGTACCCAAGCCCAACCCAAACAAGAAAACCATTTACATTTCTCTTCCACGTCTCTCTCACTCTCTCGCTTCTTCTGCGATTTCCGAGTCCTCCATCTAGGGCTTCCACAGCCTCACCGAAGGCAAGACCATCCAGTTCTCAATCGAGTCCGACAGCAACCACACCGGCAACATGACCAGCCCCGGCAGCGCCACGGTGCAAGGATTTATGCTCGGTTCGCGCCAATCTCGATCCGCACCGCCCGTTCTCTCTTCCCCTTTTCCTATGGAAGCCATGGAGGGTCCGGATTGAAGCCCGAAATGGCGGCCTCCAGACTATCCTCGGCGATTGTGGCAGCGGCGGAGTCCACGCTCTCGACCCGCGCGTACGCCAACGCTCCCTTCCCCTCCGTCGCAGCACGCCGAAGATGCCCCTTCCGGCGCGGCCTCACCGGCGAAGCCTAAGCCTCCCGAGGAGCCGCGAGGTGCGGGGTTCGACCTGGAGGTGTTGGAGAGGGGAGTGAAGGCCCTCCGCGAAATCAACAACTCTCCTCATGCGAAGCAGGTCTCTAGTGTTTCTTTTTTGTTGTTGTTTGATTGTTGTCTTCGGCTCGATTGTGGAGGAACCCGAGACGGGTTGATGGCGAGCGGATATGAAATGGGAGGTTCTGATGGTGGTCATTTTGAATTTGGAAATCAGAGATATTCATTTTTGGTCGTGGAATGAATTTGGCAGGTTTTTGAGGTAACGAGAAAGCAAGAACATAATCGTTTGGCTGAGTTTGAAACACGGAACCTGACCCGGATCAACCCGACCCGATCACTTGGCTATATCTTGTTCGGGTCTTGTCTCGAGTCGGGCCGAGCACACCTATCTAGTATTTTGGATCGGGTCGGGTATCATGTAAACTCGACCCGACCCATTGACACCCCTGCATAACATGTCTGATGTTGCAAATATTCCCCATGTGTAGCGTTTATTCTTGTATCTACACGGGTATTACGTATTAGTCTACGTATGATCGACTTTAATATTTTCTTAGCGATTTTATCTTGATGATTTGTGTTTACGTGACTTGACTTATCAAGCAACGGTGTCATTGGGTTAAGTCAACTCGACAATGATTTATCAGTCGAGCTTGCACTTGAACTTAATTCAATACTTCGATTTGAGTTAATCTCCCAAAAGTGTACTTTTTTAAAAGATAAAATTTCTTAGCCAGATCACACATCCTCACGATTATCTTACCGTGTTATAATATTATTCCTACGTGGCATACTGACGTGGCTCACATGCTGATGTGGCTTATACACGTATCGCCACATTAGCGATTTTCGACGACAAATGGCAAAAATGATTATATTAAAATTTCGCATAAAGATTTAGTATTTCATTGACAAAATTGAAAAGTCGATAATTGAATTGGCAACTTATTGTAAATTTAGGATTGATCTAATAATTACCTGTATTATTGTGATGTACACGTTATTTTCCTGAAATTGTCATACATTCTTTTGTCCCTTGCTGTCATATATACTAAAAAATATACATTTATCGGCTGCCCGCACAAGATTTCCGAGCAATGAATGTACATTTGAGTAAACAACTGTCCAGGACCATGGCCTGTCTTCTTCGTGTCATTATTATCATACATAATTAAGCATCAGAGTATGTTCTGTTTCTTCAACAGACGGGGTGTCTCCACGCCACTTCTGGCCATACTTCCTCTCCACCTAAATCCATCTTTGGAGTGTTTTCAATTCCTGATTCTGTTCCGACGGCCATGGGGTTGTCAAATCCTTCTCCGGCGGGGAACGAATCTCTATCTTAAGGCTCTGTGGGCCAGGTCCGGGGAGGACCCGGGAACCCTCTCCCGATGCAAACTCATCGGGTGAGACGAACGTCGGTACTGAAAATTAGGCTGATCAGAGCAAAGCTTGATACTCGGCCACGGTTTCAGTACAATCGGTATTGTGGTGTTGGGCGTTTCGGCAAAGTCGTTGTAAAGAAAAAAGAATGTTTCGCATCGTCGTCATTGACTCATTTCCAAGCAAGAAGGATCAAAACGTACCATTTGAACTCTGTTCTGTTCAATGTCAAGATTGCGAATTTAAGGAAAGTATTGAACAAAAGAAGATACGTAGACATCCAGTACACAAACACATCGACTGATTCATTCATATTAGCACGAGCCAAACATCAAACACATGGCCTACTAAACATCGCACCCTGCGCAAGAACCTGCAAAATACTGCAATTCCACTCGCCAGTTTCGATATCTCCGAAACCGAAACCGAAACCGAAACAAAAAACAAGAAAACACACTCGAGCAAACTACGCCATCATTTCATTATTCTTCATTCCCCATAAGACTCGCTCACCGGAACCGCTATAGCTCAGCTCCGCGAGGCCACTTTCAGGCGACCTTGACCTCGACTGTCTTTGGCTTCTTCGGCTCCGGCGGGGGCAGCTTCTCCACCGTGACCGTCAGCACCCCGTCGCGGCACGCCGCGGAGACCGCCTCCGTGTTCGCATTCTCCGGCAGCGCGAACTTCCTCATGAACTTGCCGACCCGTCGCTCCATCCGCAGGTACTTGGCCCCTTCCTTCTCCTCCTCGCGCTTCCTCTCGCCGCTGATCACCAGCACGTTGTCGTCCTCGACCTGGACCTTGATGTCCCCGGACTTGAGCCCCGGCATGTCAACGATGAAGGCGTAGGATCCCGGGCACTCCTTGACGTCGACCGGGGTGGCCGCCATGGCCCGGGCGTCGCGGACGTAGGTGCGGGTGGGGGCGTTGAAGGACTTGTCGGCCTCGTCCGGGACGTCCATGAGGTGGTGGAGGGTGGCGAAGAGCGGGGAATCGAAGCCGGGGAGCCGGAAATCCATCGTCGCCGTCGTCCTGCTGCCAAATTCAGGGTTTTGAGGAGCTGCTTTTGCGTGGGAGATCGATTCGAAGTTGAGTTGCTTTTGATCGGAGTTTGGTGCGGAGAGGAGATGGTGGGAGGGAGTATTTATAGGTTGGCCTTTTGGGAAAGTTCCAGAAGATTCGAGGGAATGATGGGGAGGTTCGAGACGGCTCGAGATCACCGGGATGCTTCTGGAAGCTTTAGAAACTAGAACATTCGGTCTTGATTGAGGTCTAGCGAGACCGACGACGGATGTATATCTTGGAGCGTCAAAATATTATTCCTACGCGGCATGCTAACGTAGCATATATATGAATTGTCATATCAAGGGGTTTCGATAGCAATTGGCTGGGAGGATTATGTTGAAAAATTTGCGCAGAAATTTGGGATTACATTAATAAAATCGAAAAGTTTATGATTGAATTGATATTCGTATCATAGATTTTAAAATGGTCATATATTTTTTGTCCCTTGCTCACATACATACAAAAAAATATTCATCGGGCAACGCGCGTAACTCATGCATGATCACTAACATTAAACATAATTGAAAATTATTGAATTCCATTTCAAGTCATCGCAACTTTGATGTATAAAATTAAATGACCGATGGTGGAGGTTCCTTCCATTTTCAAGTAGGTTACTTCTCCTACTTTTTTTTTTGTTTTTAAAAATTACATTTATTAAAAATTTTAAAACTTGTCACGAAAGTTCAAATAAATTCCAAAACTTTCAAATAATACAATATGGCCTTAAGACTTGTCCGAAAAGTGTACTGACATCACTTTCATTGGCTCCGTGGAAAAATCTAACATGACATTTAATTAATTGATAATTTAGTAAACTTTTTTTTGACAGACGATATTCGGCTACTTCAAGAAAACCTTTTTTGTACCATGAAAAAACGGGGCAAGTCTTTGGCTGTTCTCTTAACTGATCGAGGTATTAAAATTTGAAAAGCCGTATAATTGCCTACTTGGCACAAAGTTCTATCGAAAGTGTTCTCTTTTAAGTTTAAATTTGTAAAGAATGTGAAATTCGGAGAAAAAACTCCATATCATTGCAAAATTTGCTAAAAACCGGATTTTTTAGTCACTCATTGATCGCCTTTTTCGGACCATTTTTTAACATTTTATTGATTTTTATCCTCAACTTTAGAATTTCTAATGTATAGTTTTATAAAATTTGGAACATGGATATTTGAAAGATATCGCACACAGTCTTGTGGCTACATATTGAAATCAATTGAATCTATCACGGTAGACAAATATCCAAGGAAAAGGACATTAGTGTTCCTCTGCTGGATTTTCTTTATCCAGATTCTTTAGAGCAAGCCAGAAGCATACTTTTCTTCACCTGTCAGTCTTCTTTCGTGTCATTTCCTAGCCAAGTATCATGGGGCGGAGAAGTTCTGAATTGGGTGATCTCCAGTCACGAGATGAGGATTGCAGAATGCACAGCACGCTTTCAGTCTTGATCCCTGAACTGAAGACGGGTATGTTTCTTCTCTCCCTACTTTTGTTCTTTGCTCTGTCTATCTGCAGGGTCTTCTGGTAGAAACTTAGGATAGGTCGGTATCGAGAGAGGATTCGCGTGACGTCTTGTTGATTTGTTAGTGGTGTTGCAGTAGATGCGGGTCGTATCGACCGAACCATGTAAGCCTTGGAAGTCAGAACTTTGGTTCTGCCGCCAATTTTTCCGTTGGAGACAGGGGAGGCAGAGTACATGTTGGCCTTTGCCCATGCAGTGGGTCACAGTAATCAGCTTGGCATGTGAAATTGGTGGTTTGATGAGTTCTCATTTGGCTTTGCTGATTAAAGAAGCAAAGCTAGACATTTCTACTTAATTTGATCCGAAACATGTGCTGATTGTGTTTAGTGAAGCAGAAAGCGAATGGAAGGATTAAGGAAGGAGGATTTGTTCGACTTCAAGAACCCGCTGGTTCCACCAGAGAATCCCATCGGGGATGAGATCGTGTATTTCCATCCAGTGTCGGACTGTAGCATCTACAGAGTCCCAAAATCGATACGCGATGGATATGAAAAGGCATTCAGCCCTCGATTCGTTTCCCTTGGGCCATTTCACCATCACATCAAGGATCTGCTAGCATCGGGGCATAAGGAAAGTTACTTCGACGACTTTGTGCGAGAGAGCAAGCTAAGCGCACAACATCTGTTCGAGTTCGTCAAGGGAAGGGAAGAAGCCATTCGCAAGTGCTATGCAGAGACAATTGAGCTAAAAAGCAACGGCCTTGCGAGATGTGTTCTAGTGGACGCTGTTTTCGTCATCGAGATCTTATTGAAGAATAGAGATCGCAGCTTAGTAGGTGAGAACGATCGGATATTCAAAAAGCCGTGGCTGATTAACGACATGAAATACGACATCTTGAAGATGGAAAATCAGATCCCTTTTGCCATCCTTGAGGACCTCTTAGCTTTGCACCAATCAACCAAAGAGTCTGATGTTGAAAGGCTCTCTCTTGGTGTTCTCACACATGAATTCTTCAAGTTGCAGTTAGGAGGCATTACAGAGATTGCGGATGACTTTGCCAAGGTCTGCTCCATGAAATCAAGGAACTTTGTGGATGCGCTCAGAAACTATAACTTGCCATCAGTGGCGCCGTCGTGGCCTAAGAAAGATCTCAAGAGTCTAGCCACTCCAAGCGTGATGGAGCTGAGCCAAGCTGGGGCCAAGTTCCACATCGGCTCGGGGAAGAGTTTATTCGACATACGATTCTCCAATGGAACGATTGAAATCCCGAAACTGACCATATACTACGGAGCAGATGTACTATTCAGAAATCTCATCGGCTTTGAGAAATGCAACTTCCACGAGAACTACATTAATGACTACATCATCTTCATCGGTCATCTTGTTCACTCTCCAGAGGACGTGGAGATGCTAGTGGAGGAAGGAATTATCCGCATCAGTACATGGGACAGCAAAGAAGTTTTCGGGCTCATCAAGAGCCTTGCGAAAGGAACGAGGTTCGTTCCGGAGGATTTCTACTTCTCCGGTCTCTGTGCCGAGCTGAATGAGTACTACAGAATCCCTTGGCACAGGTGGAAGGCGACCCTGAAGCGGGACTACTTCAACAGTCCATGGTCCATCATATCCGTCGTTGCAGCCGTCATTCTTCTCCTGCTCACTTTGGTACAGACGGTGTTCTCTGTTATTTCTAAATAGGCCCGCTCCAATTTGAAAGTTTTGATGCACATATACGCTCTATTTTTGGTAGTCCAGTGGTGTCGACTTACTTCTTCAAAGTAGATGAGCACAAACGTCAATAATGTAAAAAGACGAGTCTCTAAATATCTCAGAAAACTTTCTATTATAGTATTTCAATGTAAAATGGCGATTTGTCCCTTGCACTCGCATCAACGTTTTGTGCATCACGATGTTTCTTCTCTCCATCAAGCCACTAGCAAAATACTCCGCAGTTTCCACAGCTAGCAAACCGATTCAGATTAGCCATAATACTCAAAATTTCAAAAAGAGTAATGGAAGACGAGCTACGAAGTCTCAGAATAGACTCATACAAAAACTCACTTGATACAGTATTGGTAGAGTATCGTATGTAATGATGACAGAGAAAGGACTTTTATACATCAATTTTAAGTAGCCACCTTCATCAAGAAATCAGAGTTTGTGGTCCTCGTTCTCTTCTACAGCAGTTGAAGCTTCTCGCTCCTTTCCTTTCGAGTGCCCAAACTTCCTCATAAACCAACGAACCATTCGAACGACGTTACCTAAGAAGACGAGCCCCATCAAGCATAACCACAGAAACACAGAAACTCTGGTCACAGTGTTTAGAACCCCTCTATTATCTTGCGGTGTCATATGTATCCACGCGATGAAGTAGGTAATGGTAAGTGCAGTGATAGCAATCCACATGGTCACCATCTGGGTCCACATCCACCTCCTTCTTTTCATAGGGAGTCCACTGACCACAAGCAGAATTATGCTCAGTGAAGAAAGAAATGCGAGCGTGTTGAAGATCATGAACTGCCCATATGCCTGTGGGAGAGCGGTAGCCATCACGGCCATTCCCACGTGGTGCGATTTCGTGTCATTCTTCGCAGGGTCTGCTGTAAAGTCATCCTGCCAGAAGCCGCCAGGAGGTGATAGGGTGGCTTGGAATGCCACAGTCGCAATGAGTGAAGCCACCACTATCAGGGCACTTCTTTTTCTGCCCAGCCAATCTGTGTGCTTGCGAGTCTTAACCGGTGGTTTAATATCACTATTCTGTTTGATATAAGGCTGTGCTATTGGAATGGCTTCGATTGTGTCTCCACCCAAAGATGTTTGATATATTATCGAAGCTCCGGATTTCTGTAGGAGCTGCTTGATCTCCATGTCTCTCAAGTCTCTTGGACCGTGTGATAAGACATCCAGTGCTGTAAACCCCTTTGCATTTTGGGCGTCTACTTCAATGTTGGTGCTGGAAAGCAAATACTTGATGATCTGCAAAATTTTCAGCCGTTCTTTTTAAAAAAAGGCAAACGCACCATATGTTAATCAAAATCACGAGTCTCTCCGTCATAGTGCCAATTCAATCAATTGAACGCCTTGGACAAAAGAAACTGTAAGCAGAATCTTTCAGTTTATCCGAAGGATAATTTCCCCATAAGCTAATCCCAAATATGGACCTACCCTTAATTTTCATGTTCCAGTTCATACTACTGCGCAAACATCACAACTTGGACAATCGCATTGGACAACCCACTTATCTAGAAAGAGCTTCATTTTATTGTTTTACACCTTAAAAAGCTTCACTTGATAACACAGGGAAGTTAGGTGCAGGTGTTACTTGCACTCAAGTATTCACTTTTGCATTCAAAGTTGAGTTCAGTATGAACGGTTGTCGATGAGGCTCATCACGTCCAGTGTTGCCATATCGGGAAGTAGATTAAGTAAATAGAATCATATCTGATCAAGTGCATCAAGACATAGTAAAGTCACCTCCAATCATATTTCTCCAGTGCTCAGTACCATCTAAACTAAAGGGCCACCTAAAATGCAACCAAATCTTGAACTTTCTTAAAAAAGAAAAAAAGATTGCCCTGCCCGAAGTGATCTATGCGATAATACTCCCAAATAAGGAGTTTTATTCATTTCATGCCTTATATTCACATTCACATTCGCATTCAAGCTGCATATCGACTTCTCATGATACAATCAGGCCGATCAATGAAAATCATATTGAGAATGTATCAATTCACAAAAAATTAGATCCTAATTGCGCTGCTTCCCCCTCAGAACAGCGCATTTCAAATGTTGTCCTGTTATCAGATCATGTCCGGATTTCCTCTCTCTCTCTCTCATTGCCTTTTCAGTCAGCTCAGCTATGTTTGACCCAAAGGGGGCACACATGAACGAACCTGCAAGAAAATTCTGAACTTTCTATGCAAAAACAAGTAATTCCCACTTCCAATTCAAGTTCATCAGAATTGCAAACACAAAGCACATCAAGTCAAATCCAAGAACGCTAAGAACCACACACATGAAACCCAACAAGAAAAAAACCAGCTTCCTCACCTCCAATTGCTTCCTGGCCACAGCAAGATGCAAGATCGTGTTCCCATCCTTATCGGTACAACCCACGAACCCATCGTTTCTCCCAACGCAGTCCACCAGCACCTTCAGCGCCTCCATTCTGTTACTCTTCACGCACAGGTGAATCGCGCTCTCCCCCTGACCCGTCATCTCCCGGGCCACCTCGGGCACGGCCCGGACCAGCTCGGCCAGGACCTCAGCCCTCCCTTTGATAGCGCCCAGATGCAGGGGCGTCCTCCCCTCGCGGTCCCACCGGCGGGACGCGTCCGGGTCGACGGCCAACAGGGCCTTCACGATCTCCACGTGTCCCTTGGCGCACGCCACGTGGAGGGGCAGCGAGCCGCGCGAGTCGGGCTCTTTGGCGAGCTCCGGGTTGTGGGTGAGGAGGTGCTTGGTGAAGGACGTGTGACCCAGGAGGCACGACACGTGCAGGGGCGTGCCGTCGGGGGACGAAGTGGGCTTGTGGAGGATCTGGGGGTCCTGCAACAGCAGGTCTTGGAGGGCTGCGAGGTTGCCTTTCACGGCGGCTTCGTGGAGCTTGTTCATGGCGCTTGATGTGATGATGGGGTCGTCTCAATGATTCTCGACGTGGAGGAGGCTCACGAGCTGCATCAGATGGCGGGAGGGGGAAGAAAAGGAGAGAGAGGAGATCGATGGCGTTTCATCCCGAAGAAGAAGAAGAACAAGAAAGAGAAGAAGAGACCAAGAAAGTAAAGGGAAGCTGCTGGGGAAAGTTCAGAGAGGACCCAGGTCTGAGAAAATGGCGTTCACCGCGTGGATAATCCGGTGCAAGAATTCGAGGAAAACAAGAATTATTGGCTTGGAAGGTTCTATAGATAAGATTTGTCAAATGAAATATCGTTGAGAGAAAGGCTTGCTGATTGGCTGGCAGCAATCAAGATTGCTTCCTTTTTTTTTCATTATTCTTTTTGTAGATGGCAAGCCAAGTCAAGCCGCCCATCTTGGACCAGAGTACGGAATGACCAACTCCGGTCAAATCCATTAACGATATCGTATTGTCAAACCAGGAAAATGTGGCTCTAACCTGCTTGTGAAATTTTCAATTATGGTATTGTCAAATTGTGCAGAACCAGTCATTTTTTTTTTTTTCTAATTGGAGATCGATGAAACACAAATGCTAATCGTAGATCGCCACGTTGAAGCACCAAAAGAAAAAGGAAAAGAGGAACATTTGCTTTCATCCAAGGATAATGAGGAAAACATTGCTTTGAAGCAACCTTTTCTGTTTGGTCCTCGTGCTGATCGGGATCATCAGGTCGCTGCTGTCTGTGAAACTCTCTCTCGCATAAGGATCACCAAAGGCAAGAAAAAGGGAAGAAAAGGAATATTCCGAGAGAGTCATGATATTTAAGATATCTGCAAATGAAACGACCTGAAATGTGCATGTAAATGAAGAACAGTCTTCACCTAACTGAAGTAACCACAGTAAGAAAAAGGTCCAGCTCATTGTTTTGGCCCTCCCCGATTTCCTTTCTGAAAACTAGGGTTCAACCTTAACAATCTATCTACACACCTGCAACAAGTAGCACATCATACTCTCTTTCGAGAACATGATCATTTGACTCGCAAAATCCAACTCTGTATTGGGATCTGCAATTGCAAATTTAGGCACTAGCCACTGAAACATCCAATATAGGACCATATAACTTGCCTGCATAGATTTTGTGTGTCATCATACATTCTTTTAGGCCAAATCCAAGAATTGTTCTCCATGGCAGAAGAGGCTTTCTGTCTGCAGATAAACTCAAGAACAGCGTAGTAGCCGCTGCAATCACAATGATCTAGCTCGGCCCGTGTAAATGCGAATTGCTAATCTGTAAAACTTACGAGAAGCAACAAAGGAATTGTCGATTCAGTGCTATACATTTGATCGAAGTTCTTATCTTTCGAAATCTTTTGTTGGTACATAGGTTCAATCAGATGAATCTTAAACTCACGATAAGCTTTTGCTTATAGGTAGGTAGACATCATGCATGTACAAAATCAAACAGAACAGGTCTCATCGATCAGCATCTAGAGCATTTCATTGCGGGGAAAAAATAAAGTGCCCTATTTTCTCAAATAAAGGTCTGAAGTGGATATTGTGTTAAATATAAGGCTTGAAGTGGCCAATGCAGTCTCAAATAAGGGTCTGAAATGGCTATGACTGTTTCAAATAAGCACCTAATCTCACCGGTTACCAACCATTTAAATACTTCGGCCGATGAAGGGCATTTTCATCCTAAGATAATTTTAATTTATATTTTCATTTTTTCCTTTTTCTTTTTTTTTCCTTTTTTCTTTCTTTTTTTTTCTTTTTTTTTTGGTTAGTTCTTTTTTCGGCGAGGGTGACCCTCGCCTAGCCCATCGGCCACTGGCGAAGAAGAAAGAACAAACCAAAAAAAGAAAAAAAGAAGAAGGAAAAGTGGAAAAAATGAAAAGAATTCAAAAAAAGGTACATGACGAAAATGCCCTTGACCATTTGGAAAGTCAAGCCATTCTTTAAAATAGATATAGCTACTTCATGCACTTATTTGAAACAAGATCTACTTCAGACACTTATTTGAGAAAATGAGGGCACTTCAAGTTAGGGGTGATCGGTTCCCGGTCCAATCTGGTCCAATGGAACTGATCAATGTAGAATTTCCCCAACCATACATGATATCAGCATGCTCAAAAGGGATGAAGATGTATGTTGACATCATTTTAATGTCTAAATAGCAAAAACCAAAACATCTAAAATAAGAATGTAGCTCACGCTTGCATATATATATTGGTCGGTCCAGTCCAGGTGGTCCGGTTCTCATCTTGGAAACGGGAACCGGACCGCCCAAACATCGGTTTCACTTTTGTAACCGGGAATCGGACCGACACTCTCGGGAACCGAACTAAATCGGCCGGTCCGGTCCGGTCCGGTCCGGGCGGTTCCTGGTTCGGGCGGTCCCGTTTGTACACCCCTAATTCAAGTCCTTATTTAAAACAAAGTCGACTTCAAGTCCTTATTTAAAACAAAGTCCACTTTATGTTTTTTTTTTTTGAGAAAATAATGACACTTCTAGCCATTATTTGAAATTTTCCCTCTCATTGTGTAGGTTCCACTCCTTGAAATTTCAAGCCAGGCCCACGATGTACTATTGAAGAAAAAAAATGTAAATACAAACCTGAGGCATGCTCTCCTCTCCCGTCCTTCTCCCATAAGAACACCGATGAATTCGATGATGAATCGATGCTGCGAACACCCGTGAATTCGACATCGATGAATTTTCAGCCGCCACCGGAGACGCCGCCGGAGCCACTGCCACTACCATTGGAGCTACCACTGCCGCCGATGATGAATTCCACACCAACAATGAATTCGGAGCCGCCACCGTCACAACATGCACACTAAATAAATACTAATGGAAATATTTTATCATGAAAAAATTATGAAAATAGTTAAGGATTTTATATAAAAAATTTTCATTAGAATTTCCTTTATATGGTTTAATGCTCATTTAATTATATAAGATGTTTAGTAAACTCAATATTTTTTATCTCGTGCAACTCACGTACAACGGGCGTGCAACTCACGTGCAAAGTACACGGAAGAACGTACTTTTATTATTAGAAGACCGTGAGATTAATGTAATGATTTTGATTTTAGAGGGTGAAAATGAAACTAAAACAATCCAATGCTCTGTTTGAGAACGGGGAGAGAAGAAGATGAAAATGAATAAGATCACTGCGTTGTAAATCTAGTGAAAACGTGCAATAGAAATAAAGACATTTATTAGCATTTATATCAAGTGGAAAAGTAAATATTGACTTGCCAAGTACCATTGGACAGGATAATTCACTATATATTTTCTATTTAATTCCTATTTCGACTTCCAGGTCGCTATTTGCACTTCTAGTTGCCTCTCCTGATTCTTATCGGAAAGGGGTGTTTACAATAATAGCAAAAAGATATTAAAACCCCGATTAAAATCATCGCTACTAAAATCACGATCACTATGGACAGCCACTCCCGTATTTGTACTCCAGGAAGGTGGACATGTTTATTCTGTGCATTGAGTTAAGAGGAAAAAAAATATCAGCCAGGAAAAAATAAGAAAAAAAAATTGTCAATGGACTTTTTTAAAAATTAAAAAAGGAAAAAAAAATCAGCCAAGTGAGAAATGTGCTTAGTTTTACCGGTTATACTACCCAGTTAAGAAGAAAATTTAAAAAAAAAATACTAACCTCTCTTCTCCTCGTTGTTCTCCATTAAGGACCCTCTCTTGTCAAATCGAGAATAACCGATTGGAGATTAAAAAGTAAAGACACTTAAAAAGTGCTTTATATTGTAAGATGGGACTTGTGCATATTCACTTACCTCAGTTTGCTTATCTGTAGCAACTAGGTGCAATATAGTATCGCCATCGTCTCTTCAAATTAACGAATTCATGATCTCCAATAGTCTCCACCAAAAGCTTCAGAGCTTCCAAATTATTATGCTTCACGCATAAATGCAGTATAGTCTCGCCATGGCCCGACGTGCTGCATCGGGACTCTCTCGAACCAGTTCATTCAGAACATTGACTTGGCCTTTAACCGAAACATGAAAATGGTCCTTCCCATATTTGTCACGAGCATAGCACATATTCGCAATCACGCTCAACAATTTCTTCACTATTTAGCTGTCGTGAGGTGCAGGATATTAAAAAAATTTATAAGAACTTCCTTTATATGGTTTAATGCTCATTTAATTATATAAGATGCTTAATAAACACAAATTTTTTTATATCGTGCAAGCCACGTGCAACGGGCGTGCAACTCATGTGCAAAGTACATGGATGAACACATTTTTATAATTAGAAGACAGTGAAATTAATGTAATGGTTTTAATTTTAATTGGGTTGTGTTCATGTCAAGATTATGATCCGTGAGGAGATTATCGGGCAAAAGAAGATACGAACACGCTCAGAATGCGATACATCCACTGATACATTCATATAAGCACGAGCCAAACATCAAACACATAGCCTGCTAGAGGAAGCACCTGCACAAGAACCTGCAAATACCGCATTGCCATTTTTTTTTGGCCGAAATTTTCTATATAGTTGGCTATTTGCACTTCTAGGTTGCCTCTCCTGATTCTTATAGGAAAGGGGTGCTTACAATAGCAGCAAAAGGCTATTAAAATCCCCATTAAAATCATGGCTACTAAAATTGTGATGACCACGAATAGCCACTCCCGCATTCGTACTCCAAGAAGGTGAACATGTTTATTCTCTGCATTGAGCTAAGAGATCAATGGGCCTTTTTTCTATTAAAAAAAAGCAATATTGACTTTTTTAACTACTGGCTATGAAACTCTCTCTCACACATAAGGATCACCAAAGGCAAGATAAAGGGAAAAAAAAAACATTCCGAGGGCTATTGCACGTATGGTGCACATGCATATGGTGCACATGCATTGCACGTGAATTGCACGGCCATTACACGTATGTCGCACATGCATTGCATGGGATAAGGATATTGAATTTACTTGTCTACAATAGGTATTGAACAATTGTTACTCTGTAAACATAAGTGCAATGACAAAATTTGTTAACTCAACAAATCGAGTAAAAAAAGACTTGCATTGAAACAGGACAAAATGATATTGAGAAATAGTTTCTAATTGGGGTAGCATAACTGGTAAAACTTAGCATATTTCTCATTGTTTACATGTACGGAAATAATACTCTCGTGTTTTACAAAGTAGTAACCAAACCCCACAACTCTTCTGCTTTTGTAAAATTCCAGCCTTGGTAGCTTCACATGTAAGGCAATCAGAGAAATAACACGGTCCCGACAATTTTGATATTTGCTTATTCTCTTAGACACTTGGGCAACCATATATGCACTGATACGGTGGAGCATCCTCATCAGACGCTGTATTGTTGCCTGGCCATTGAGGCAGAAGATCTCCGTGTGAATATATTCTTGACGTTGCGAATCGTCTTCAGTATCAGGCGTATCATATGCCCCACAAGAAGCAAAACTATCAAGCCAATCCACACACAAATTCTGAGTACTATTATCTTGTAGATGTGATCCTTTTCCTGAGAGGACGTGCAGATTGCTATTGGGTGCTTTATATTATAAGATGGGACTTGTGCATATTCGCTTACCTCAGTTTGCTTATTTGCAGCAGCTAGGTGCAATATAGTGTTGCCATTGTCGTTCTTCAAATTAACAAATTCGTGATCTCCAACAGTCTCCACCTAAAGCTTCAGAGCTTGCAAATTAATATGCTGCACGCATAGATGCAGTATAGTCTCGCCATGGTCCATCTTATGACTCCTTACTCTCTCGAATCAGTTCCTTCATAACATCAACTCGGCCTTTAACCGCTGAAACGTGAAGAGGGTTCTTACCATACTTGTCACGAGCATAGTACATATCTGCAATCACGCTCAACAATTTCTTCACTAATCGAAGATTACCTTTAGCTATTGTGAGATGCGGGGTATTAAAAAATTTATAAGAATTTCCTTTATATGGTTTAATGCTCATTTAATTATATAAGATGCTTATTAAACACAATATTTTTTTTATCTTGTGCAACTCACGAACAACGGACGTGCAACTCACGTGCAACGGGCGTGCAACTCACTGCACATGGATGAACACACTTTTATTATTAGAAGACCGCGAGATTAATGTAATGGTTTTGATTTTCAAGTGCGAAAATGAAACTAAAACAATCCAATGCTCTGTTTGGGAGCGGGGAGTGAAGAAGATGAAAATGAATAACATCATTGCGTGTGAATCTAGTGAAAATGTGCAATAGAAATAAAGACATTTATTAGCATTTATGTCAGGTGGTAAAGTAAATATTGACACTATATATTTTCTATTTAATTCCTATTTCCACTTCTAGGTTGCCTCTCCTGATTCTTATCGGAAATGGGTGTTGACAATAGTAGCAAAAGGCTATTAAAACCCCGATTAAAATCGTCGCTACTAAAATCGCGATGACCATGAACAGCGACTCCCGCATTCATAGTCTAGGAAGGTGGAAATGTTTGTTCTCTGCATTGAGTTAAGAGAGAAAAAATATCAGACAGGAAAAAATAAGAGAAACCAAATTGTCAATGGACCTTTTTTTTATTAAAAAAGGAAAAAAAAAATCAACCCAAGTGAGAAATGTTCTAAGTTTTACTGGTTATACAACCCCAGTTAAGAAGAGAATTAAAAAAAATAGAAATATAAACTCTCTTGTCCTCGTTGTTCTCCATTGAGGACCCCGAAGAATTTGGCAATAAATTCGGAGCCGCCGTCGCCACTAGAGCGGCCATTGGAGTTGCCGCTGGAGCCACCATCGCCACCATTGGAGTGGCCACGGGCTGCTGCCGGAGCCATTGTCGGAGTCGCCAGCACTGCCTTCGGAGCTGCTACCGGAGCCATCACTGCCAAAGCCGCTGTTGCACTAAATAAGAAGAAATTAAACAGCATTCTTGCAATATAAAAGAAGAGGATTCTTGAGAGATATGATGAAGAGGAGATGATACGAGAAGTGGAGATAGAGAAGAGGGGTTACATAAGTTTTGAAGCAGCTAGGATGACTCATTCCGAGTCGCGATTTTACGCGCTTATCGCTTCCGCGAGGAAAAGGTTTACTTGAATTTTAGGTTAAGAAGAGAGATGAAAAATGGGGGTGGGCGGAAGATGTTTGAATATTGGAAGAAATAGCAAAAAACACACGAGGATCACCAAAGGCAAGAAAAAGGGAAAAAAAAGATATTCTGAGGACTATTGCACGTATATTGCACATGTATTGCATGTGAGTTGCACGTCCGTTACACGTATATAATACGGGATAAACGAGAGTTCCTAGTATCGACCAAGCGACATTTTTCTCAGTATAGTATGGTGTACAGAAGTTTGCATCTTTGTATTTATGTGCCTAACACATTAATATATGGACTCTCGATTTCGCATGTCATTCCGATTCTCTCTATGACTAGCTCAACTTATTTTACTTTCGCATTGCAGGAGCTGACGATGATAAAGAGAATGTGATCCTCAACAAAATTCATGTTGCTCAATAATCACACTGGTGTTTTTTAATAGGCACACAGGTCAAATAATGGCATCAACTGCAGTAATCGTCCACGGACTCTCCTTCATACAGCATCACCAATCCAACTGTGAATCTAAACCAAAATTCCCCGAATTACATAAAAGAAAAAAAACATTGCATTAGTAATTGCAACATCAATACCGAAGTGCAACCCATTCTTGTCCAAATTTATGAAATCACTATACCACATTACTTTTCCGGGTATTCATTTGATGTTTTGACTTACCCGATGACCAATAGAGCTAGGCCGAGAAGCCATAGCATGTATTGGTACTTGTTGTACTTAGGCTTGTTGGCATGAGCATCATCGCTACGGTCTTGGCTTTTAACCCAAGCCAGTCAATAGCTCACCAATGTGGCAGAAATTATCTATGTGTGAAGTGAATACTCCAAGTCCTAAACCAAGTGCTGCCGTGCCGATCGGTATAAACAGACCAGCACCCTGAAAAAATAAAGAAATAATACAGGAAAATTAACGTTGAATTACGCAGTACAAACTCATAACATAAAAGCAAGTCAAAGTCTTGGTTTTTCCTTTTGTTCATTTAATTTACTTTTGTTAGCAAAAGAATGGAAATTTAGCAGAAGGTGATATCGGCTTTGTCGGCCTTGTTAAAAATTGTCCAGGTAATCTTTTGCTTGCAAGATTGAATATGTACTATTAGATTCAACACCTTCGCCTTAGTGTCTAATTTAGTGGATACTCGTTCAATCTAAATACTTAATTCACAAATATTTACGTGTAACAGTCATAACAAAATAGTATTTAATTTCATTTAAAAAATCCTAGCATATAAAAAAAATAAATGAGGATAACCCTCCATTTTGACGGACTGAGGTAAACGCTCAATTTTGATGGTTTGAGCAGTTTGATGAGCAATGCGAGGATTGCTCCTGTGCTTGCAAACCAATTAGTCAAGGAAACCATTTTCACTTGAGCAAAGAGAGCACCGAACAAGTGCTCCTTATATAGTTTCAATTTGAGAATTCTTCTGGATACGCAACAAGTGCATGCGTGCGTGGACATAAGATCTTTTTTTTTATACTGAATTTCAGCTTGGATTTCGAGAGAAAAGAGCCATCGTGTGCAATGGCTCACGATGCTTTCATCACGTTTTCAATTAAATAATCTTCGCATCATCTTGAAAATATTTTAAAAAAAATAGTTAGAGAATTTGTATACAAAAATTTTCATTAGAGATTTCCTTTATATAAATTAATACTAGTTTAATTACATAATGTGCTTAATAAATTCAATATCTTATATCCTGTGCAATGCATGTGCAACATACGTGCAACGGGCGTGCAATGTAGGTGCAATATACGTGCACCGTACGGGCAACGGACGTGCAACTCACATGTAAAATGAATAAATCCTCTTTCAGATGCTAGTTGCACCATTCTCTTCACGTGTTCATCCCTCTTGATCTCTACATGCAAATCATCGTATTTACCAGGAGTCACGTACCACATTCTCTTCAAATGAAAACCGAAACCTTTCATGTCAGCAATCAATCCTGTATATGTCATGGAATTACGGGTGACATCAAACTCCTCATTGGACTTCTTTACTCCAAGATGGAATATAATTGGGAAGGGATGTTCCGTCCTTGGTGTAACAAGGTCAACGTGAGAGCCAAAGAACAAATGTGTCGGATATATATTAGACATTTTTGCTTATTTACCCAAAATCCAATACGGCACAAACATCATTCAACAGTTAGAGACAAATCTTGGATTAAAAAGTCAGCTGTCCAATGAAATATCAGTACTTCTTTTTTGATTTTCCTTTCATTAACTAAGTTTGAACTCTTAATAAGTATGCGATGTAAATTTAAATTAAACATCAAATAAGTTAGATTATAATCTAACTTGGGGTACTATCTCATTATTATTGGCTAGTGTAATTAAAACTTTTCGATAGCGGTTTTTTATACTCTTGATTTGAGGATTATAATTACTCGCTTTCTCACCAACCATCAAATCAAGGATAGATTGGGCCCCTTGTGAAACATTTTCTTTATACTATTATAATCACTAAAAAATGGACCGATAACAAAACTTTTTAAAAATTTCTATCTGAATATTATAGTGCTATCTTTTGTCTTGATTAATTCCTATCGGTACACATAAATTACCACGTCTACGCGCTTTAAATAAGGCTTTATCCATATCTTGACAAGTGTCGCTTCTAAGATTACTTTGTATTGTTTACCTTGCTAATAATGAAAAATTGTAGTTAAGGTGGTACAGTAAGTAAAATTTCCTAAACTGCCCGACACATGAGATACTCCTTTGCAATTTATTGAGTAATGAATAGTTTTGACTTGATACATTTTACAATTGATGCCAAAAGATTGTCTTTTGTAGATGCATGCTAGATTTAGTGAAGTAATGTACTTATCTTCAGTTCGTTAATGCTAGTCTAGAGTTAGTGGGTATTATTCCTTTTCTTTATGATCCCTATTTGTAAATTACCTTACATGTAAGTTTGCCTTCCTAATGTAGTCATCTGCTAACCACTTCCAAATTAGGGGTCAACTTGAAAACCAATTATTCAAGGAAACCATTGAGCAAAGAGAGCACCGAACAAGTGCTCCTTATATAGTTTCCATTTGAGAATTCTTCCTCAAATTCTTCTGGATACGCAAGAAGTGCGTGCGTAGACATGAGACCTTTTCTTTTTTTTTTTGCTGAATTTCAGCGCAGATTTCGAGAGAAAAGAGCCATCGTGCAATTGCTCACGATGCTTTTATCATGTGTTCAGTTAAATAATCTTTGCATTATATTGAAAATACTTTAAAAAATAGTTAGAGAACTTGTATACAAAAATTCCATTAATGATTTCCTTTATAAAAATTAATACTCATTTAATTACATAACATACTTAATAAATTCAATATTTTTTATCCGTGCAATGCATGTGCAATATACGTGCAACGTAGGTGCAATATATGTGCAATGTATGTGTAACAGACGTGCAACTCACACATATGAAGACACGCTTTTTATTAAAAGAGGCATTGCTTTTTTTTTTCTTTTCTTCTTCCGATGGAAGTACACTAGCGTATGTCCGCTTTGTGGACCCGGGAACCCTCTCTCTACACGAACTAATCAGGACAGAAGAACGTCGTTATTGAAAATTAGGCACATCAGAGCGGAGCTATCTCTTAAAGCAAGCGTTGATACTCGGCCACGGTTTCAGTACGAACACATCCGGTACATGTCAATGTTGCAAATTTAAGGAAAATATCAAACAAAAAGAAAATACGAACACATCCAATACACAAATACGTTCGACCGATTCATTAATATTAGCACAAATACAGCACTGCCATTTCCTTTTTTTTGGTCGAAATTTTCTAGGTGGCTATCTCCACTTCTAGGTCGCCTCTCCTGACTCTAACAGGAAATGGGTGCCTACAATAATAGCAAATGGGTACTAAAATCGCGATTAAAACTATCGCTACTAAAATAGCGATGCCCAGGAATAGCCACTCCCGTATCCGTACTCCCGGGAGGTGGACATGTTGATTCTCTGCATTGAATTAAGAACAAAAAAAGTCAGCCAGGAAAAAGTAAGAGAAAATAAATTGCCAAAGGGCTTTTTTTTAATTAAAAAAAGAAAAAAAAAACCAAACCGCCGTTATATTTGTTCTGCGCTGAGGTTCCCTTAGAATTCGGCATACGCGTCCGAGCTAGAGCCGGAGCTGCCGCTGTCTCATCCACCGGAGCTGCTGCCGTCACCGCCGTAGCGGTCACCGGAGCCGGAGCCGGAGCTGCCACCTCCAACAGGGCGGCCGCTGCCATAGCTGCCACCGGAGCATCCGCCGGAGCTGCCGCCGCAGTAGCTGCCGCCGGAGCGGGAGCAGCAACCGGAGTGGCCGCCGGGGCGACCGCTGCAGCCACTGCCGCCAAACTAAAGAAGAAGAAGATGAAGCGCATCATTGCAATGTGAAGAAGAGGAAGATGAGATGAAGACGAGATGAACGGTTAATCAATACAAGAGAAATTAACAGTCCGTGTCATCAAAGGCATATGGACTAGCGCTTGCCACCTCTAATTGATGCAGTTCACGCTCAAGGGTGAAACAATGTTACACGTTCAATCTCAAACTTGATAGACATTGTGTCATTCGTAAGAGATGACGATTTGTGTTGCACCATTTGCATTCATGTTGGTTACTCAGCATAATTTCTTAATATTATTGCCGCTAAATTAGTGCACCTAGCGAGCAGCAACCAAAATTAGCACTTATCGAAATAGTGTAAATTCAGTTCAATGAGATTCGTGAAGATTGCTTTTGTCGAAAAGGAAAAGGTCAAGATTAGAGGTTTTCGATTCCAAGGTAGATTGATTCACGGCCTAAAATCGAAAACCGTCCTTGTGAACCAGTTCCCAATCTTTTAGAACTAGGAATCGAACAAGTCGGTTTTGGAATAGCCAGTTACACCATTTCATTGGAGAAAGTACCAAAAAATATCATAAACCTGTTGTACCTGTGTCAATTCAGTCATACACCTTTCAATTGGGCTAATTTAGTCCTAAAACTTTTCACATTTTTCCAATTGAGTCTATTCGGTTAATTTTGGACAAAAATCTAGTGTGAACGCCAGCCGTTCTACTTTGCACCACTGGCACTGACGAGAACAATTTTTTTAAAAAGTTGAATTTTTAATTCTTTTTTTTCTTTCCATTTTTTTTCCTCTCAATTGGCCCTCACCCAGGGCCGCCCTTGCCAACGGCCGGGGAGGGCTTGTTGGCCCTAGCCCAATGGCCGGCAACAAAGGAAAAAAAAGAAAGAAAAAAAAAATTAAATAGTTTAAGAAAAGAAAAGAGAAGAACAAAATATTATAAAAAAATTCAAAATATTATTACAAATGTCCACGTTAGCACGTCAAGATTCCCGGTCAAAATTGACCAGATGGACTCAATTTACAAAATGTGAAAAAGGTTTAGGACTGAATTGAAACAACTTTTTGGTACTTTCCTCCATTTCACTTCAAAAACATTTGTTGCTTAAGTAATTATGTTATTATTTGTACATTTTTTTAAAGAGGCTTCAACACCGGTTTAGAGCCGGATCCAGTGCTCACCTCTAATTAAGATTACAATGATAGAACTTATCGACATTCAACCGTATCGAATTCAAGTTTCTCTAACTAAATCAGTGTCAAGTTTAGTTTATATTAAACGGGCGCTTAGTTTTTCGATCCAAAAAAAATGGGCGCCTAGTGTTGATTAAAACAACCAAATAGGTGAGGAAACGAACGTACTGTTGATACTCGACATTGACGGCTGTGGCAGAAGACTTTGCAATCGTCCCAAATGCCGTTGTCGAGAGGACAACGGTCGCGCCATTACTTGAGGGACGTGAAGACGAGGATAGCGCTTGGTCGACGATTCGGACTTGGATAGTCTGGCTAGGAATGCAGGTTCCGGAGACGGAGGCACTGATGCACCGCACTAGGTACTGCCTCCCGCACGACGCTCCGTTGTCCCATATCCCTTCATCTGCCGCCGCAAAGAGGTTGCTCGACGGGAATTGCGATGGATCATTGCCGAAACACGCGATCGCTGGATCATAATGAACAAACTTATGAGAGAGAGAGAGAGAGAGAGAGAGAGAGAGAGAGAGAGAGAGAGAGAGAGAGAGAGAGAGAGAGAGAGAGTAGATTTTACGTATGTGTGTATGGAGGACTGTAGTGAGTGGGGGTGCCAACGTCGGCACGAGAGAGATGAGTCTGCATTGTCAACAGAAGAAAGGTGAGTAGAGAAAGAGAGAGAAGTCTCGTTCTAATGTTGGAGTACTTCATGGTTCAGGAAGAATCTGCGAGGCCAAACGTGACACCTGAATGGACTGAGATAAGAAGAGCTCTGGTTGCCACCTTTTATAGACATGTAAAACCAATCCGACATGTGAATGTGTACATCAAAGTCAATGAGGTTCGATATCATTTGTGTACATTTGGATGACGCTCCACATGACGACAATTGCCTTCAGACTGACACATGCAATGTGGAGAATCAACTCACACAATGAGAAATCAACCTGAAACTACAATACATATATGAATTCTAATTTAGATGCTTCTAATTTCTATGGTTTTTTCTTTTCTCCTTTTTAATCTCCAAAGTTTCCATGCTGTAGCTGGCTGAAGAGGGAATTTCTGCTTTGAACAATTCTTTTGCTGTCGTACTCGTAGTCTGAAAAGTTTGCTTTTTCCGCCGTTAGGTGACCAAATGGCAAATACTAGTTTCCAGATGCAGCGCGTCATTTGTAATTCCAGCTCTACAATAGAACATTCTACTCTTTTTGTCAGTTCGTACTTGAAAATAGTTTGTGCGGCATACGTAATACGCGACAGGGACACGTGAAGCAATAAGTTGATAAATCATGTTGGTCTATATCACGCGGGCCTAACAATGTGACTATAAGCCGTGCAACAACACTCGCCCTTCTCTCCCCTCCCTCTCCCCCTCCGTCGTAGATTGCGTCACTACTGTGCCGAAGAGATATGGGAGGAGAGAGTTAGGTTTTTTGTGGTTGGTGCTATAGATGAACACATTGCGAAGATTCATTAGCTAATTGAGTGGAGACATTAGTGCATGGGGATGTACATGGGTAAAGTTACTCATCATCCGGGGGATCGATTTGGTCGCTTACCAAT